AGGCACAACAACTATGAGTTTAAATTCAAACCGTTCATTTACAAAGTAAAATGTGATTTGTTCATGTATTTATCGATATCTGATTAAACTAATTTTTTACATAGATGATGGTCTTCACTGTGAGGTTTACGAGAAGAATGGTTCGGATGATCATTATGGACCCAAAGTGGAGCCTACCAATTTTCCCCAGTATGTAATTTTGTAATATTTTTATTTTTACTTTGAGATGGAGCATAATACAAATAATTGGTATGCTAGTAGGTACCAACATAGTTAAATGTATTTGATTTATAGTGATACAATTTTCTACCATCAATAATTTATATCTATTTGATAATATGAATTTATAATATTTCATTTCATTTTTAAATAAAAGTTATTTTTTACATTTTTTTATTTTTTTTTATCAGACATTGTGAATGCTTAATTCAGTAAAAGAAAAAAAAAAAGAAAAAGAGGCCTAGGTTTGACCCGAGCCTAGGCTTGCACCTAGGGCCGAGGCCTGCTTTTTCCTAAATCTGGGTTTGGGCTTAGGCCTGGACAGCAATTTTTCCTGAATAGCCCTGCCCGACTTGGGCTAAATTTTGGTAGGACCTTGAAAGGGCCTAAGCCGGGCTATTTTTGCACTCCTACCTCCTACTGACTGTGTATTTTCAAAATAATTAATCAAATAGATATTCAAATATTATTTATCATTTTAAAATATTTTATTTTCATCTAAAAATTTATATTTTATTTACATTTTCTTATTAAGAAGATTCGTAATATTTTTCATTACAAATGGTTTGTTATATTTTTAAAGATTTTTTCATAACATAACTACCGTAGTTCTTAAATTTCACTTTAATGGTGAAAATCATACACTTTTTCCCCCCTTAAATTTTAGGGTTTTTTTTTTTTAAGGTCTCTGGTATTAAGACTTTATAATATAAAGGACATCTAATATTTTCATAATGTCTAAGGTCCCTCAATTTGATCCAGAGAAATTCTGTCCAGAGAAATTCTCTCCAACCCGGAGAAATTCTCTGTTTCTCTCCAGAGAAATTTCGTGGCCGAGTATTTCAATCTTCCTCCTTTGCTACTCATCCCCTAAACATCCTCCAGCCATCACCACTAGCCAACCCAACTAACCCACTCCCTCAAAATAATAATTTAAATACGATCAACAGCGGATTGAGGGAACCAATCACATATAATAAAATAAAATTAAGAAACATCACCTTGATAATACCCAATAACATATCCAATAATCACCCATTTACTACTTAAAATAAGAAGAAGAAGAAAGAAATGCATTGTGGTAAGAGAACCACATTTTTATGTTTCACAAGCAGTCTCATTCAAGCTTGGGCTACTACTACTACTTCAAATTCTCTCTTCACCATTGCACCATTACTCTCTTTGTTGCTGCTGTGACCGGAATTATGAGCAACCTCATAACATTTGGGTTCTTCTTCTACCTGTGCATTGTTGTCGCCATTCTCCCTTGAAGTATCATATTTGTCGTTGTCACCATCATCATTTGAAGCTGCATCTGTACTTGTTTGGTGGTGGACGAGGATTTCCTTGGTCTAACTGCGCAACTTCTCTGTAGTAACCTCATCTGTTTACATACAATCAATGTAGAATAGTAAGCAAGCTCCCAGAAGACCTTGGAACAACACTTGCATTCAGACACACGCCATGCACATGCAACTCAAATTAGAGTTACGTAATAGTTTAGAAGTAATACCTTTTGATATATCTAGATTAGAAGGGAATTTTCACTAACTTTTTGTGAATTTCTCTGGGTTGAAAGGTAATTTCTCCGGACTGAAAGAATTTGTAATAACTCTCACCACAGTTTACTGATAAGCCATTGATTACTGTTAAACTGAGGCTAAATATGTTAATTGACTGACTGACTGAAAACTGAAGCCGAATTGATTGAGTATATTAGTTAAACTGCAACTCTATCTGTTTGACTGTTTAATTATCTGTTCATGTTTTATGCTTTAAACTGCAAATTGAAGGCCTTATCGGCGGCCGAATCTGAAATTGATTAATGATTTATGATCATTATAATTTATGTGATTTTATGGTGTATTTATCCGAAATGTGATTTGGTATGCTTAAATTAGATTAAACGTTGATAAATTGCACCAATTGACTTAATTTACCAAAATACCACACTAGTGGCCCACTATCTAAACACATTTGAGCCTTCTTCAAACATACTTCTTCAGCCATTTTGAGTTCCATAGCCGACTAGAGTGAGGGAGTGTGAGGAATTGAGTTCAACTTGGAGAATTGGCTAGAGAACTTGAAGAAATTGTTAAGGATTTGTGCAATTGAGTTTCTATACTTGAATACAAGACTTAAGGTAGAAATTCATCTTCTCATTCTTGTGTTTAAATTGATTCTTGCATGGTTTAGAGCAAAGTTGAAGACTAGAGCCAATTTATGGCTCAAATTGTTGTGTTGAAGCTTAATTGTGGCATGCATGTATATATATATTGAAGTTATGAGGCTGTAGTTCATAATTCCTCACATGCATGTCCATGTTTTGGGAGTAGACCATGATTTCATCTTGATTTTGTAAGAATTGGCTCATTAGAGCAAGTATTGGAAGCTTTGAATTAGTTAAATTCTAGCATGCTTGCATGTTCTTCATATTCATGAAATTTAGTTTCAATTTGGGCTCAATTGATCTTCCTTTGGGGCTTCGATTTTACATTTGAGCTTTGAATCATGTTAAACTTTGAGTTTTGGAATGTTTTCTGAAAAATTGGCCCAAATAGTATGGTTTTGATGCATCTAAGGTTTATTTGAGCTTGGAAGTTCAAATCTGGAAATTCCAGATTTTGAACTCACGCTCGAGCGGGGTGACTGGCGCTCGAGCGTGGAAATCATGCTCCTAGCATTTTGTTCTGTTTTTAAGTTAGCTCGAGCGGGGTAATTCACGCTCGAGCGGGACCTTGTGTCTTTCGCTCGAGCGGGTATCGAGTGCCCAATCGAACGTGAATTTCACATATCCAGCACTTTTGACTGTTTTGCAGAACGCTCGAGCGGGTAAGTCTATGCCCGAGCGGAAACCTTTGTCTGCATGTTCGCTCGAGCGGAGTAACCTATGCTCGAGCATGACCCCTATTTTCTGAAAATGTTTAAAGTGCATCTTTGCATCCTCATTTCATCCTAGGCATTCTTAGGCCTAGTTTAAGGCATCTTAATGAGGATATAGATGTAGAACACACCGAGGCAAATTAGGGATTAAGTTATTATCTTTCCCAACTGTGTAGCTTAGTGTGTGTTCGTCCTGTAAACTGTGTAGGGTTGGCGACTGGAGACGCGCTCTAGCTTAACTGTAGCCCAGAACTCTGTGAGTAACAAATGTGTAATGATATGTTCAAAGATGAATATTTTCTGACTGTTAATTGAACTGCTTTCTGAACTGTTACTGTTAACTGAATGAATGTATGTCCTCTATTCTGAATTGTATTGTGGCATCCTTAGCAACTACTGTTACTGTTACTGCTACTGTTACAGAGATCTCTATCGGTTCCCATGTTTGGAACCATTACTGATGGCCATTATTGACTGCTCGGTCTTTTAAGACCTACTGTCTACTGTACTGCTATGCTAATGGATGTACCACATATGACTGTTACGACTGAATGATTGAAATACTGATTTAATGAACTGTTTTCATTACTGTAAGGACATTCATTCTTAACCTCTTTACGCATTATGTTATTCACTAGGCTTTAACTCACTGTTTATATATATATATATGTATATATGTAGGTGTACAAGCACCAGACCGGAGCTAGGAGCGTGGGTTAGACTCCCTTTTTGTCAAGCCAATCACTGTGCCTCACTGCGAGGTTCTAAGCCTGCCAAGCTTTGGCTTAGGGGTGTTTTAATTTCCCCCGTCTGTCTTTGTATCTGTTTTGTAATAACTGTATAGACTGATAGCACTGTACTGTACTGTCTAATAGGGATTAAGTCCCTGTTCGGATCGACTGTAAATGTTGTACATACTGTTCTGTATTGTTCATGTATATTCGCATGAAAAATCTTTTTGCATACAGACTGTCACAGCTCGTTGGACACTGTTTATTTACTGTTTTGGCTTCCGTCATGCCCCTGTACTCTGTATTATTGTCTGACTGTTAAGCAGGCCTTTGATAATCTCGGATTACTGGCCGGTTACAGTGCTAAACCCATAGGGGCGGGTTTGGGCCGTGACAGAATTTCTCTGGGGCAGTTTATCAAATCAATAGAACAGCAGATTCAACTCTACCGATTTCTTCATAGAGAAAATCTCAACAGAGAAATTCTGAGAATTTCTCTAGATTTTTGTGCCTCACTGCAAGGTTCCGAGCCTGCCAAGCTTTGGCTTAGGGGTGTTTTAATTTCCCCCGTCTGTCTCTGTATCTGTTTTGTAATAACTGTATAGACTGATAGCACTGTACTGTACTGTCTAATAGGGATTAAGTCCCTATTCGGATCGACTATAAATGTTGTACATACTGTTCTGTATTGTTCATGTATATTCGCATGAAAAATCTTTTTGCATACAAACTGTCACAGCTCATTGGACACTGTTTATTTACTGTTTTGGCTTCCGTCATGCCCCTGTACTCTGTATTATTGTCTGACTGTTAAGCAGGCCTTTGATAATCTCGGATTACTGGCCGGTTACAGTGCTAAACCCATAGGGGCGGGTTTGGGCCGTGACAGAATTTCTCTGGGGCAGTTTATCAAATCAATAGAACAGCAGATTCAACTCTACCGATTTCTTCATAGAGAAAATCTCAACAGAGAAATTCTGGGAAGAATTTCTCTAGATTTTTTAGAGAAATTTTGGAAATTTCTCTGGCCTTCCCTCTCTCTAGAGAAATTCCCCCTTCTATTTACACAATAATCACAGATACAAACCAGATAAATTTAGTCCATCCCAGAGAAATTTACCCAAACTCAGAGAAAATCGCACTCCAACCCAGACAATTTCTCTGGTTTCAACCCAGAGAAAATTCAGTTAAAAAACCAGAGAACTTCTCTGGTTTCAACCTAGAGAAAAATTCAGTTCAAATGAAAAAAAAAATTCAGTTCACTAGTCCAAACACACACCATATATTTACCACACGTACATACACAAATTCATTGAATCTCGAACTTGATCATAGAAGTACTCTTGTAGGCCAACAAGTGTAAACCCATCGCCAATCCCAAGAATGATGAACTGAGGAGCTAACCAGAGCACGCTCATAGACAGATAACCGACTCTCTCTACTCTAACAATCTCTCTCTCTACTTCTCTTAGAATCTTTTGTTCCACTAATGCCGCTATAGGCATGGCTATAACTGGGAATACCATGCCAATGTCGATCCTCTGGAGGATTCTAATGCCTTGTTCATTGCCGGTGGCTTTCCTGAGTGCCGGAACAAAAATTTTCTCATAGGCTGTGACGCAGATTATCATTCCGATCGCGGAGAGTGTGTGAATGGAGGTAGGTGGGATCACAAAATTGTTCCCGATGTTTTGGTTCATCGTGGTGCTTTGTTTGACAAAGAAAGTTGAGGTTTGTGCCATACATAAACCGAAAAAGATGAGCGAGAAAGAGTCTCCAAACAGTGCCAACTATTTCAAAGAGAGATAGATATATATAGTTTTAGAGAGAGAAAGTAGAGAGAGAGTGTGCGTTTGTGTAAGAAGATGACTTCATGCAGTGTCGATTTTTCATGTTAGAATAGAATTGGATATCAAATTTCTCTGTAGGGACCTTAGACATCATAAAATAATATTGTAGATCTCTTCCATTACTATAAATGGGAGATGGACCTTAGACTAATGTTTCCTAAATTTTACTACAACCATAGATTTAGGGAGAAATCATTTTGAAAATAACGTAGATAAAAATATTAATTTTAGATTGAAATAAAATATTTAAAAATTGTAAATAATAATTGAATATTTATTTGATTAAATAATTAGATCATTAACTATAGATCAACATAAAAAAATTAAGTTAATTTGATAATTGTACATATAAGATTTTTTTATTATAATATTTAATCAATTCCATAAACACATATATTTATTTAAGTTAAAGAGGAGTCTATGGTCTTTTGGCAAAATGTTAAAGAGTGTTCTGTCCTTGTGCAAAATGATGGAGGTGTCTAGGATTCAGAAGTTGTTTGCGATAGAACTTGTAACTGTCAAGGAATATCTATGATATATTGATAATATTAGAAGTGTCTGTATTTCCATCAAATGTTAAAGGGGTGTTTGTGTACCCTTTTTATTTTAGTTTGATAGATTGAATTCAAAATAATAAATCAATAAGTAAAAAGATTATATTATTTAATTAGGAATAAAAAATATCATATTAGGTATTATTTTTTATTTAGTTGAATGAGATTATATAAAAAAAAATTAAATAAATCATAACATTCTAAATTAAAATGAGTTTTTTTTAAGAACAGACCAACAAACAGTATTGTTCACTACAAAAAAAATGACTTTTTGCGATGGAAAAATACCGTCGCTAATACTCCTAATGCCGTCGCTAATACTTTTTGCGACGGCAAAATAACTTTTTGCGACGGCAAGAGGGGGGTCGCAACTGCAGGGGTTGCAAAAGAGTTTTTGCGACGGTAAGTGCCGTCGCTAATGTTTTGCGACGGCATTTTTTGCCTTTTTGCGACGGCACCGTGCAGTCGCTAATAACGTTTGAAATGTCTTGACTTTTTTGCGACAGCCCTATTTTACCGTCGCTAAAAATGTTATTTGAGACGGTAAAAAATACCGTCGCCAATAGTCTTTTTTTTTAAAAAAACACTATTTTTGCGACGGTGTGATGCCGTTGCAAAAAGTATAAAAAATATAAAATTTTCTATTTTTACATTTCATTCACAAAAACATCATAACAGAAAATAAAAATAAAAATTGATCAAATCATCAAATTCAATATTTTACAAAGAATAATTAAACTGTACATGTTCATAAAAGCATATTTAAATTATAAAATTCACCCAAATCCTAAAAAAAATAAAATAATAAAATAAAATCTAAAATTCACCAATCAGCACATTGGATATTTAAATGCTCTTACAAAAAATAAAAAAATAAAAAATTTCCAACAAGATCTCAATTTTGAGCCTATTTCAAAAATCAAGCTGCAAATTCCTTACTTCTAGAATCAGATCTTCCCCTCGGCAAAATTTATCCTTTTGACCTACAAATAAATAGATAACAGTTGCAAATTATAATCTTTTGGAGAAACCAACTATTTAAACACCAGTAAAAAATTGTGAGAAGAATACTAATATGTGATTACAATTAACTCTATATATGGTAGTTAATCAGGTGTAACGAAAAAAATTTTACGAAAAAATAAAAAAAACAGGGTGTCCACTAAAAATTAAATTTTTTTTTTATTTTCTGTATTTTTTGTGCAATAATTTATGATCTATGGTTGTTAGGAAAGATGAGAGGGAGACGATATAAATGCTTTAGAGCTCTAATATTGGAGTTCTAATAGCTCTAATGGAAAGAAATGCCTATGAATACAGAAATCATGACCCACAACTATATCCATGACCCACAACTATACCTTTTGCCTCGTCTGGTGCCAGCAAAGAAATGCCTATGAATACAGAAATCATTCCTAATATGAACATTGTTGTCCTTAGAGCACCAAATACCTGCTTAAGCAACAGTCAATAGTCTGCCAATGTGTGTGAATTCAAGAGAAGCAAGACTGGACATATGCCAACAGACTATGCCAACAGACTAAATAGACTATGCCAAGAGAAGCAATCATTCATAAATGTTGATGTATTGGTTTCATCGCACAACTTGGAATTTGAACTTCCAGGGGTACTAAAAACTACTTGTTCCATTGTCATCTGCATTTCTCAATAATGAACTGCAAGCATTACCATCAACTGCTACCTTACTTCCCAGTTTTGATTGAATAAAAAACATTTGAATAAACGCCATGAGTCCATAAACCAATCATTATCCCCATCCTCCTTGAAATTGTTAACAGATAAGAGCCTGCACCTAACCAGAGATTCAACTTTTCGTACAATCATATTAGTAGGAGTACAAACAGATAAGAAGATCCTAGCATTTCTCTCCTGCCAGATACAGTAAGTCGTACTAGTAAACATTAATTTCCTAGCAGTCGTGGCCAAAGAATGACCAGAGAATTGCCCAGATAACCAGTCCACACAACTACCCCAATTCATAGCTTGCCAATGCATATTACATTTATGTAACAGAGCAGAACTCATAATCCTCATCCTAATGGTGACACAACACACACTGAGCAGAACTCATAACCCCATATACAACCAATCTATCAAGGGTATTCAATCCACCAAGGATAGCCATCCAAACCACAGTACTAATCTAGGAATATGGGACTTAAACCAGATAAGCTTATGCCAAGTCACTCTAGGCTTATGAATTCTAAACAAATCCCAAGCAGAGTGAACAGAGAAGAGACCATTTGAAGGAGTCCAAATTGGCTAGTCTTTCCTATCAGAAGGCACCATATCCCTAAGGCTAGAATTCCTAATCTTAGTAAGTTCCCAAGTCTGAGTACCAGGCCACTGCCAGGTTTGGTCCCTAACAATGCTAGAAACAGTAGCCTGTGCATCAATTCCAGAGTCATAAACAATCCTCTCACCATATTTGTGGATGAGGGGGCCAAGTGTGTGCCAAAACTGTGTTAAAAGAAAATATTAATTATGTTGAACGAAAAAAAGAGTTCTTAAAAGAATTTGTTTTATCAAATTCACATAAAAGTTACCCTATCAATAAAACCACCAAAAGAAAGAAATATAAACAGTTGGTCTCATACCCGAAAGCTCCACTCCACATATTGCTCACTATAAGATCATAACTAAATTCCAAATTTCCAATAACGAACAAGGAAATTAGAGAAAACAAAATTTATTATTTTTTGTTAATTTAATACACATCTATTTGAAGTTTAAAAGCCCAACAATCTCCAAACTCAATTACAATCATAAGAAAAACTACATATAACCCAATTGAACTCTTCTCCATAGAAGTTGAACCACAACCTCAAACTACATAGTGGTGCTACTCAATCAATAGGCCAAAACTCATGATTCAGTTACCCATTGTCTTTCTCACATAACTTTCAGAAATTGTTTGAAACATTGCTACCAAATACAATGTACTGATATCTACTTGTGCCCAATGTTATTGTCATTTTAGCATACATTCTAGAATTCGTTTTTTAATTTTTATTTTATTTTTAAATAACCAAAAAAATTTTCTTCAAAAAAATCCAGAATTTTTTTTGTAAGGGCAGTTATATATAACATTTTTGTTTCACCAAACTTTTCATTTTAACAAGCACCTAGGAGGCATAAATAACATGTATATAGTTTTCTTCTCTGCTGGACAGTAGAAACAAAATAAAGATATATAGAGATACCTAAGCAAACACAGATACACAAACATAACTAGCCAAAGACAACAAAGAGAAACAAAGACAAGCAATCATCATACACATAACACAAATCATCTTGATATGGAGTCACAATTTTGGGTATATGTTAATATTTAGATACATACAAACATGTGCAAACATCACAGAGAGACAAGGAAGAGTATTACCTTATACGAATTTTGTTTCCAGCAAAAACCTAGCACAAATATTGAACAAAAAGAATGGTCAAAGTAAAATAGGAGCCATTAGAAATAAAAATCAAAATTACCTGAAAAATTGGCAATGGCAACAAAATCTTAATTTTTCGATCAAAACTCCCAAATAAAAACCCTAAATTTTCAATTTAAACCTAACTTCTCAAAACCATTTTTTCCCCCCAAATCACTAGACATATACATGAAATAGAATAAACGGTGATAGAAAAATCTAAACAGAGTTTCGTAAGAAACAGAAAAATCTACCTAGCTTCGTAGAGAGAGAGAGAGAGAGAGAGAAGAAGCAACTACCTTTAAAAGAAAGAGAATTTGCAATAAAGAGTTGAAATCGAAATCGATGAGACGATCAAAATCGAAATCAAAACCAAACAAACAATGAGTAATCACTTTAATAGAAATCAACAAAGATAAGAGGAAGGAGATGAGGAAGCAATGTACCAAGTAAGAGCATCTTCAATGCTGTTTGCTAAATTAGTATTGCCATTGCTATAATTTGACAATAAATAGTGTTATTTTGTCAAATTATAACAATGATGCAAAGTTATTTTAGCAAATCTTAACTTACTTTCTCTCTAATTTTGTAGGTGATGTTTGGATATAAGTTTTTGAATTTTTTTTTATTGTTTATTTTTTATCTTTTACGATTTTTTTTAAATTCAAAAAAAATTAAATATTTACGTTTTACCCTATTTTTTTTAAATTAAAAAATATATATACATATAAACATAATTCACCTTACCATTCACACACCACTACAAAATTAAAAAATAAAAATTTACCTATATATATAATTCACACCATCCCTACATAATTGAGTGGGGTTCCAGATCTTTCAATGCTCC